AATATTTTTGAAATATTTTTAATATATTTTTTTTTTCACTAATATACATTTATCACGCCAATCTTCTCGGCAAGAAAAATTAAATTGTTCGATTTTATGTATTTTCATGAATTTATATGGAAATTTGAAGCCAAAAAGATTCGTTCGCTATATTTCGTTTTTTTTTAAACCATAAATTCATTGCATTTTGTATTTCATTTTGCTTTGGAGTGGCAATCTATGAAAATATTTTCTGAAAATCGGTTTCGATAGGTTCCATTTTCTTATCTTTGAAAAGATTTGACAAAACTGAGAAAATTTAATGGGAATAAAATAAACAAATCCGAGTGGTGCTAATGTTCCACATTCAGTTCTTCACCAAATGATACCTGGCAAAAAAATTACCTCTATTAACAACTAGTGAAGCGATGAATGCTACCGCTTTCTTCTTATTTAATATAATATTAAATAGCAGTCTTCAGTAAATTTAAGAAATCTGAGATTTCAAGTATTTTTAATTTTTTTAAGAATTTTTTCTGAAAACTCGGTTGATTTGAAAGAATAATAAATATTTTATGATTTATTTGTGAAAATTTTTCGAAGAAAATGAAGTAAATTAAAATTTTCATTAGATTTCTTATCCTTAAATTGAAAAATTTTATTTATTTACACTCAACTCTCCGAATTATTTTTTAAAGGACACTATCAGTAATGAAAGCCAAGAAAAATTAAAATTATGAATAGCAAACGAAGAAAATCTGGAAGGTAGAACAAAATGAGGAAAACGAATGATAGAAGTAACACTGCGAGAATGCAAGAAGAGCATAATTAGAACAAAAGTTCAAGCACAATTGGGACGAAAAAATTTCAGTTGTACAATGGTGATTTTTATAATCTGCAGCCTAAACTAGAAAATTGATGCAATTTTAGTAGGCCGATCTGATATAAGCGGTGGGTGATCTTCATCAGCAAGCTGCATAGGTAAAAAAGAATAATCGATTATACGAAAAATGGAGGCAATAAAATTTTTAGGCATATTTTTAGTATATTTAATTGTGATTTCATAAAATAACAGAATAAATAATAGTATTAGAAATTCATTCAACGAGTGGGAATATTATAAAGGCGCCATTTTAATAATATAATTGTTTAAAAAACCACCGCGTAAAGTTTTCCAAACTACTAAAATTTTTTTAGACCAAAATTCGCTGAAGAAAATTTTTCATCAAATTTTTTTCAAATCAAGTAGAAATTTCGCTGGTTTTTATTTCTTTTCAAGTCGTTATTTTATAAATTTCGCTTTAAATCCGAAAATAAAAATTTAAAATAAAATTTATTTCGGCCTAAATTTTTTTTGACATTTATCACTTGATCAACTGCTATAATTGGTTTAGCTTTTATCTTGTTCCATCAATTATCATTCGTCACGAATTATTCGAAAATAATATCAGCGATTTTTTTTTTTTTAAGTTCCTTTATGTCATAAAAAATTTTAATGACTTCAGTCGCATCAATGGAAAGATTGAAAGAAAAAAAGGAAAGAAAATTAAGAATAAATCTTTTTGTGAATAAATATTTAATAATTATTCTTTTCTTGATGAAATTTTATGTATGGTTCTTTATTTTTAAAAGAAACAATCGAGTAATGCTTAAGTAAATTCGCCAGAATTCGATATAATTTCGATATTTTTTTTTGAATTTATTTTTTAATTATCTTGTTATCTTCAATTTACATATATATTTAAAAAATTATGAAGATTTTTATTTATCAAATGATAAATGTAAATTATCAAATATCTATAAATATAAAAAATTATCAAACAAATATAAAAATGATAAGCATATGAAATATGTGTTGTTTGAATATTTTCTCACCATGATGAGATTTTTTCTAGAATTCCGCAGCCAGTCATTACCAATTTTTTTTACTTTTCATTCAACATCGGTGGATTTTGTATGAAAAATTTGTATGAAAAAGTTTGTATGAAAAAGTTTGCGATATCAAAAGAATTAGTTTGGCAACAAAGAAAATGAAATGAATAGTGAATAGTTTGTTAGAATTGTCAAATGAATACAAAAAAAAAAAGAAAATTTAGTTCAATTTTTTATTCTAAAAATATTTTCATGGATAAACCACGGCGAATAAATGAATTCGTAATATGTTGATGAAAAGAGTTTGTCCATATATTCTCAGAAATAATACGCTAGGTGCACTCTTTCGGACAATTTTCCTTTCCCTTTCTCTTGTTTTCCCTTGTTTTTTTATTAATTTCGAGAATTTCTCTTATTTTTATGAAAATACACGCATATTCCAAAGCTATGCTGATTTGTTTCCATAAAAAAGTGAGGAATTTAGAAAATTTTTACACCATCTCAAATCTCAAATGTGAAACCGAAAAATAACTTTACTCTCTTCTTTTATTCGAGTGGGCGCGCCACTTTTGGTTAGGATCAATTTAGGACCAATCCTTTGACTTGTCGTACCAGATAAATTTTTTCTAAAGAGTTATTTGGGTGGCAATATAGGTGAGCCATCCAGTATCGTACTTGAAGAGGCTTACATATGTGGGAAGTTGAATGCATGGAAATCGGCTCTCGGAAATGAATATAGTAATCGACTGGTCTATTCTTTCCTTAATGCCACGAATTTTAGAACTGAAAAGCGGATTATGGATGGAATTACATGTGCAGATAAAATAATTGTTCGCATAGAGCTCAGAAATCCCTATCGTAATTGGCTTTGGCCAAAAGTAATTCACTCCTTATTCTTAATTGAATCATTCTGTAATCCAATTGGCCTTAGGTTTTTAATTTTCTTCAAGATGCGTCAAATTAAAATTCTTTACAATTTTTAGCATTGCGGTTTTGCTTGCTAAATATTACGGCATTTTAGTTAATATCACTTTATTTAGTGAAGAATTCTGCTGTGATTTCTATTGTTAGCTACCATTAGCTTCTAGTTTGGCTATTGAATGTTACAGGAAATTGCGTAGAAGAGAACTCTTCGCAAGTGATTTGAAGACTAAAGTGCATTTATATCGTAAAATATTTAGTATATAGCAGAATTCTAATATTTCCTTTTTTTGAGGATTCTGACTATTTTACTGAACGCTTCATTTCACTTTTCCCAAAAAAGATTTTCCATCTTCGTTAATAGAAACAATGTACCGATATATACCATTGAGAATGAAGTTATCCATCCTTTTCTCAAAGTGTTGCATTTTCTATATGAATTACAGTTATCTTATGAATTTATCTATTTATGATGGAGTCTGTTGTTTGTAATGATACGAAATTTAAATATTGGCCAGGTCATCAAAATGACACGAGAAGTGAGTAGGCTAAATATTCTTCAAGAAAGCTAAGAAAACTGTTTTATTGGGCGAGTCTGCTCCATTAGTGAAGTTTATTCAAGTTGTCCATAACGAGAAATACTTTTCACATGTTTTTTGGAGATTTAATCAAAAATCAATTCTGCGCGTGCTGATTGGATTTATGGATAATCGTTCTCGTAGAAAAAAATTCAAATGAGGAAAAAGTTGAATGGTAGAATTTGCTATGAGAGGTAAAGTATGCAAGTTTTCAAATTCATTTCAAGCATTTTAGATTGTAACAAATCGGTAATTCTTTTAATTTTTGCAGTTTAGCTATTTCATTATTCAATTTTTGAATTAATTTTAACTTTTTTTTCCTATTTCTTAGCACATCAATCTTTTTTATGATTTCTAATTCAATGAATAATTTCAATAGAAAAAAGGAATTAGTAGAATAATTGATAATTGACGGGAATGTTGGAAATGTCCATATTTTTTTGAGGGATGCTGGAAGATGGAAGAATTCTTGGGACGTTTTTTTCTAAGGCATTTTTCTGTGAACTTTTTTTCTTTAAGGGCCCTCATCATTGTTAGTTCGACTCATTCCGCTGGCTTGACGGACTAAATAAATATTCCATTAAGGAATATTCCATATTCCTCGGCTATAGAAACACAGGTAGGCTACCAGCTGGATCAACTGAATTTTTGCACAGTTTTGCCAGGAGTGGAATCGCTTCAAGTTGGGTCAACATCCAATAAATTCTATTCTCCCTTGCTTTCTCTGGTGCAGTTTAGCTGCTTTGACCAGATTAAAACAGGATTAGTGCAGTAATCTAATTTAAGCCTCGATTCTGGTGGCAATGGTCTTACCACTGAACCACAATATTCGTTCATCTCTATAGAAACAAATGATTGTTGAACAATAAGCAAAATCGATATTTCATTCTTGCAAAAACCTTAATTAAATGATTGAAGAGGAATGCTGGATTATTTATTGCCAAAATTTTTGATTTTCATGCCTTTCAAATTTATTCAAAAATTGTCGCTTATTAAATATGAAAAAAGATTTCAGCGGATTCAAATGAAACAAAAACAATTTAGCATTTATTTTATTATTTTTTTTTAAATTTCTTCTCAAACGAATCGTTTTGAACGAGGAAAGAGAAAATACTAAAGAAGACTACAACAGTTGAATACAGCCGTAGTTATATCAAATTTTTATCGACTAAAAAAATGGAAAAGTTGAAAACGATGAAAATTTTTTGCGCTACAAACTAAGAGCAATCTGTAAAAATCTAAGCAAACAATTATATTATTTTAAAAAATCTCGAAAATCTTATTAAATGCTAAAAAAAGAAATAAATATTCAATTTGATTTCATTGATAAAATGCGCAAATTCTCTTCGAAAACAATGATTTGTGAAAAAAACTGAATATAATTCAAGTATTAACGACAGAAAAAGGCGAATTTAACTATCGAAATTAATGCAAATTAATTTAATCTGATTTAACGGAAAAGAATAAACTGATAATTCAGAAATTAAAACCATTTTTTGATAATTTCAATTTGAAAAACTTTGGTTTCATTTATTTTTGTATGTGATAACAGCAAAATTTTAACAAATTTTAACAGCAAATGTTAGTGATATTTTATTGATAGTGTTCAGTTCGGCATATCTGTGAAAAATATTCTTCATGAAAAAGTTATCATAAATTATAAAAAACTGATAAGCATAGTAAAAGGAATGAAGATATATGGTGTAAAGCAGATATTTTTGAATATGTTGTTGGATAATCATTACACAATTGACCAATGCACCAGCATAATTCAACCGTACGATTCGATGATCGTTCAGCAAATTTTATTGGAAGTAACTGGCTCGCTGGTACTCTTTTACATGCTGTATCTGTAAATACTCGATTATTTTTAAAAATTTTCATATTTTTATAAAATTTTCCGATTATTCCGATTTCTTCATTATTTTCTTGACATAAATCATCAATAATTATATAACCGAACGGTTGAGAAATCTGATTTTATGCGAAGATTCATTCTATAACAATGAGCTAAGTCAAAGATAACATAAAAAATGAATTGAAGTATTATATAATTTGTTAATTTTTTGTTAAAACAACTTCTCAAACAGATAATTTTCTTATTATAGGAAGAAGTATAATAGCAATAAAAATGATTGCAAAAATAGCTATCTTCACAAAGCTACTTTATTTTTTTCATTTATTTTATTTCCAACGAAAGCGTTAATTCAATTAAATTAGCTCACAACATAATGTGTTTATTTATGCAATGTTGCGAATGAATTCGGCAGCATCTTCGAAAATGCCTTCGATTAAAATTTTCAATGCTCTTCAAAGTTTCGAAAGCGAAGAGAAATTTTTAAAATATTTTAGCCAAATAATTTTGCAATTTTTTTACAATAATTTTTCATCCAAGGAATAGCGAACGACTGATTCGCCATAGAAATGGATGAAATAGCAGTAAAAATTGATAGATAAATTGATAGCAGTAAAATAAAATATTCATTAAGAGAGAATTGTTTACAACCTTTATGTGCGAAAAAATTGCAATGCAATTAAGAAAAAAATTAAGAAAAACTTTGAAAAGAATGGCCTGAAAATGTAATAAAGGCGTTACTATCTTTGCCTTTTTTTAAAACAGCTTTTACCTTAGGACAAATCTGCTTAGCTTTAGTCGAAACAGGTAAATTTTATCAAAAAGTCACTTATTAGATTCATAGTAGTTCGGTGGACGTGTATGTAGCACTAGCCAGGTTTTTGAAACAAAGTTTGTTTCTTTATCTAATATTATTTCCTTACTAAAGGTGGAATCCCAGTATCAGCACTGTGAAATAAGAAAAATTGTCCACTGAACGATTCTCCCCATTAATAATTGTATTAGCCTAATATCTTTCGTACAACTTCCCAGTTTATAATATTTCTATAAAAATCATCGCTGAATCGGTTATCGCAGAAAATTTTATCGTATTATCCTAATGATCGCGGTATCTTTGCGGCTATAAAAAAAATAACATTTTGAATAAGAAAATGAAGCAAAAATTAATTATCGGCGATCGCTAATAATGATGAATTTCTAGAAAAAAATTAGTTGGTGTCAACTTGTAGAAGCGGTGAAAAATTGAATTGAATTCAGTTTTGATTAATTAATTGCTTGTTTAAAATTGAACAGAAAGATTTTTTCTTAAATTTCATATCATTTCTTAGCAAAAAATTGAAACAATTAAATGAAAATAGCAGTTAATAATTAAATGAAAAACTTTAAAGAATCTAATATTCCGAGGCAAATAGAAATAGAAATTGTTGTAAGCAAAAAATTTTTATAAAAGAATTTATCTTAATTTATTGAAAAATTTTCGTTTAATGAGGATTTTCTTCACTCTAAAATTTTAAAAAAAGAAGGAGAATTGAACAATGATCAATGAAAAATTGGAAAAAAAAATTGCGAACGCGAGAAATAAAAATAATAATTCTTTATTGATTTGGCTTCCTTTATTATAATTAAAAATAATTATAATTAAAATTATGAAGAAAATTATAAATTATAAAGATATGAAGCAATGTTGAAAGAGTTTTTTTGCTAAATTTAAAAAATTATTTTCATTTTGAAAAAAAATTTATCTCTTACGGATTATTTTAAAACATGAGATTATAAGAAATTTTTTCAACATTCCATCACTAATGAATATAACAAATTTATAGAACTCGTTCAATGAATGAAATATTTTACTATCAATTAGCGCAATTATTTTTGCTCGAAAATAATAATTTATATACCTATCGTAGGTGTCGTATGTTCGACAAGATTTTGCATTAATTTGAAAACTGTTGAGAAACAACCGCGAACAACGTAATTGCCGATATGATAGCCTTAAATAAGAATTTTTCCATTTACTGTTTTCACGATTTCTCATCTAATCGTTATTTATTTGACAAACGATGGCGAATTATTTATAGAAATGATGATTATAAAGTAAAAATTCTTCTTGAAGAGATATTCTATGATAAAATTAAAATAATTTTCATTCATAAGAGATTTTTAAGAATGCCCACTTGAAAAATATTTCATTTGTATAAAAATAATCAATTATTACTTATTTTATTACAAATGAAAAATAATAGAATTTTTGAAATTTATATGAAGTGATTTTTCATTTGCTTCAAATTTACAATATAAATTTGTAAGAATAAATAAATTCTTAAAAAAAAAAAGTAAAATAAAAGCAGTAAAAAGAATAAAAATTGTGAATTGTGAAGCTTTTTTGTATGCTTTAGGAATGAGAAAATATGTTTTAATTTGCCTTATTCATTAAATATTTCTAAAATTTGAATATTTAAAATACGTAAACATCAATATAAATAGAGCAATGAGCTAAGTCAATTGGTTGTTCAACCAGACTTATGAACATAGTGCTTGTGCTTTTAATGTCCTTTGAAGAATGCTAGCAAAATTCCATAATTCCATAGGTTCATAATTCATGGATTTAGTATAATAAAGTTTAATGATAAAATTTATTAATTTTAATCTTTGCTATTATTATACAGCAACAATTATTAAAAAAATCTATACAAAATATACCTGCTAAAATTCGAGGCTCAATAATTGTAATGCATATCGAATGACTGCAAGGTGTTATGCCAATATGAACATCCGGTGGCATATTATAACAATAGTCAGTAAAGTTCACCGGTCTATAATAAACCTGAAATTCATTCATAAAGTCTTTGATTAATTCGATTCAAACCAGAAATTTCCCCAATGATCTTTTAAAATGAGATTGGTTTATAAGAAGTCAATCTTCTTTATTAATTAAAGTCAACAATATCTTGGAATATTCATTTTTCGAGTGCCGAATTTTTAAACTTTTTTTAAATTTTTTAATTTACTTAGCATAAATCATTTTATTTGTTTGCTATAAGGTTCGGCAAATATAAAAATATAAAATAATTAATAAAAAAACTTTATTAATTAATCGCTCTAAAATTAAATTTGGATTAATAAAATTCCTAAATTATTTTTATTATTTTCGATTTTAAATGGTTAAAAAAAAATTGGAAAAAAAGTTGTGTAACGTAAATCAAGTGACTTAATCATTGTAATTTATGTAAGTAAAATGATATCCATTAAGAGTAAGTGAAAAAAAAAAACTTACATCTTACGAAACATTTGAGGAATTTATAGAATTTTATATTTTGCGAATGCATTTTAGCATTTCAAAATTCGTATATCTCATAAATATCTCATAATATATCTCAAAAAAAGGTTTCTTAATGGTTTCGATATTTGAAAAATTCTCTTTTTTATATTGAAATGACCTATTGATTGATTTCACAAGAATCGAATCATTTGTTAAATATCGCATTTCAATTTTTTACATATTGAATTACTGAAACATAGTAGTTTGCTGCTACGTTTAACTTTCACTATGTTATTCTATTAAATCGCATATCGCATATTATATTATGTAAATATTAATAATTGTTGCAAATTAAATATTATGAAAATAATAAATTTATTACTAAACACTTTTATAATGGATTTTTAGTTATTTATATTATTTATTATTATTTAATATTATTATTTAATATTTATAATAATGAATTTTTAAAAATAAACTATGAATATTATGAAAGTCAGCAAATATGAAGTGGAAAAAACCTTGGAGAACGAAATGAGATTGAAAATTTAGTGTTAACTTCTCAATTAAAATATTTTAATAAAAAAAAACAAGCCAAGATTCAGATTTTTTCACATTTTTATGTATCAAAATTTACGACATTTTTTGCCAAAATCGAACCCGCATGGAAATCAAAATCTGTTTTCTCAAAATTTTTTGGCTATTAAAAATTAATTTGTTAGTAGATTTTGGTATGGAAAAATTAAAAATCAGTGTCAAATTTGCTCATTTAGATGCAATTTAAGTTGAATTCTACTCCCTCCCTGTACACCCTTTTGAAGGAAATTTATATGATTTATAAAAATGCTGCGTTTTATTTTGTAGTATCGCGACCAAATCGAATTTATAAATCTGCAATTTGAAATATTTGAAATTCTTTATTTCAAATATTATTCTATGATATCCTTTAAGTATTATCTTTCGTTGAAATGAATTTAATAGCATAAATATTATCCAATTAATCTTTCTTTGAAACGACCTAAACGACTTATATTCTCTTTATAGAATAGAATTCCCATAAAGGAAATGATACCAATATATTTTTTGATCAATCTTTTTAAGCTAAATATCGAGAATAATGGAATCAAAATTGTTAAAGGATTTCTCATTTTTTGCACTATCACTCTCAAATAACAGTAAAAGAAAATTATTCAGTTTTTCTGATAAACATCGATTCTCTTACCTATCGGAAAAAAACTAAAATTTCATTTCAAATTTCTTTCCATATTATTAGAATATAGAATGGAACTAATTATCCATTTTCTACTTTCATTATGAAAGGAATACTTAATTATTATGAAAATTTTATTCTTTTGCCAAAATTAAAATCAAATTTTCTTATCAAAATTGTATTTAAAAAATTTCATTCATAGTTGGGAATTGGGAATTCGCTGGTTTTATACGCAAATAATTAAAATTAAATTTGATGAATTACAAAAAATAAATGAAAAATTCAATTAAAAAAAGTCTCCGCTATTTCATTTTTGATCAATGACAATGGCATTGAATCCAAGAAAACCTTTAAAAAAATATGAATAAAGATTTATAACAAATCAAAAAGTAGAAAAATTAGTGAAAATATTTCGTTATATTTATTTTTGTTCTTTTTTCTTGATTATAATTTTTAACTGAAGCAGATGATGAAGTCCAAAAGTTTTTCTTATAGTCTCTTAGGCTTATGAATAAAATATGCGTTTTTTTTCCGCGCTTTATTCAGCCAAAAGTTTTATTGAATTCGACTAAGTCAAAAAATCTCATAAAAAGAGAAAATTATATCTCTCAAATAAAATGAATAAAAATTTTCGATTTTATGCAAAAAATTGTAAATAAATATTGAAAAAAAAATAGTTTTAGAAATCGTAAAAATTTGTATTTTTTCACCGAAAAAATATTAAATTATTCATATTTAATATTATAGATTTGATAAATATATTTGGCCATTATGAGTCGCATAAAATTAAATTATTATTGAAAATAATTTGAGCCATACAGTGATTTAATGCAAAATTCAAAAACAGTCGCAATAATTTATTAGTGCGTTCAAAGAAAAAATTCGCGTTAATAGGTAAAATATCTTATTTCTAACATATTTAAAAGATATTTGATCAATAGAACATTATGTAATGGCAAATACAAAAAAAAAAACAAATTTAAATTTAAACTATAAAAATATTTTTTTTTTTCGAATAATCTGAATTTTTAAAAATTTTATGCATGAACAAAACGCACGATAATTAGGTGAATAAAGAAAATTTTTACTTGGCTGAGGTGAAGCCAATGTTTTTGGAAAGCTTCAGGCATGCAACTATAACAATATTTATTTGACGAGCTGAAATATAAAGTTGGAATTAATTAATTTAATTTGAAATATAAATATTTTTCGATAATTAGTTATATAAAAATATTTAAACAACCTAAAATCTATATAATCACTTGCAGCTGAATTTAACAAAAAAATTATCACAAATCGTATTGAAAACCAATCGGTAAGGCCTGAAATTCAATTTTTATGCAATGAAATTCATTAAACAGTAATGTCAAAAGAGGTTGAACTTTTCTTATGTGGTAATATAGTTACATATTTCACCAACTAATTAATTGTAATTTCTGATATTGCCGAGGATTCTTCAACGAATTAAAGACAAATGCAATTTGGCTTGAATATTATATTTACTGGCAAGTCGAAACTTTCTGAATTTTTAAGATCAAATTTCCTTTATTTTTCTAAAATTTCATGCAGAATAAATATTAAATAGCAATAACAAAAAAATGAAGTATGAAAATTACTGAAAAAAAAAAGAGAGGCCACAATGAAGCAAAAAATGAATGAACTTAAACTTGTTATCTTATCTTATCAGAAATTCATGCATAATCAGAATTTTTGTCAGGGAATCACTTGGCGATTGAAATACAGACAGATTATCAGCACCATTCGGAGTTGACTGGTTTGCTGCTACTGGAAGACAGAAATGAAAATTTTGCCTTTCAGCATAGTTTGAACGATTACCCTCTCAACCATTCTTACGCCATAATCATTTATTTCATTTATTATTTGGTTTAAAGTAATTTTACAGTTTAGTAATAGAAAAGTTAATTTTTTGGATTGCTCTTTTCTTGTTTCCTCGCTCATATCATATTGAAAATTCGTTAGTGACGTTTAAGAATTAATTTTTTTCGGTACTTTGTTTCTTCACTGAAAAGCCAACAAATATTGCAATTTTCTTAAAAATATTGTCGAAAATTTTGAGTGATTCTGCAATTTTTTTATTCAAACGAATCTCTCTTCTCGTTGCATTTATTCGTTTAAAAAATAAATCAATTAAATTTTTGAGATAAAATTCAAAAATTTAAAAAGATAACAAAGTTAATTAAAATAGAATATTTGAATACTGAAAATTGTCAGCTTTTCAAATATTTATTTTTGAAATGTCAATCAAAGCGATTCCCTCTCTACTAAATATTTTTTGTTCGTTTCTTATTCGTTTTTGCCAACTTGGCAATTCATTTTTCAAAATCTTCCTAAATGCATTTGCATTCAATTACGATTATGAATAACGATAAAATTTTCTATGAAAATAATTTTCTCGTGCAACAATATCTCTTTCATTATTATTGTTATTGATAAGAAATAAAATAAGAAAATAAGAGATAATATTGGTGAAAATAAATTAAGGAAACGAAATGAAAATAATAAGCTTACCTGAAGGCATTCAAGCTATCATAGCAATATAATTTATTTATTACAGAATTTGAAGTTGTTCATCGTCCAAATTCTTCTTCGACAAATGCGAAGATTTGATAAAAGAAATATTTAAAGAAATATTGAATTGACTATTAAGAATTAACTACAAATATAGACAGATTGAAAAGAATAAAAATAAGCTTTATTAATCTAGTCTAATTAGCCTAGAAAATATAGCCAAATAATGACTTATATCGACCGAGAAAAAGATTTATTAAGTCTTGAGATAATGGGCGGAGAACGATCTAATCTCTTATATTTCGGGATAAAATCCGCCTTCAACAATGATAATGATGATAATAAAATTTTCAACTAATTTGGCTAGCTTATATTTCGTTTTTAAAAAAATTAAAAGAATTTATTTAAAATTTATTTAAAAATGAATAAATAAATCGAGGCCAAAATTTAAAAAAAAAAAAGAGAAATCCGAGGGACAACGATGATTTTTTAGAATTTGATTTATTCAAATATTTAGAGACAAATCGCCAATACAACAAAAATATTTTATAAATCTTTTTTTTTCTTTAAGCGATTATTTATATAAAAGTACGAACGGATGGAATTTATTGATGTGCGAATGCATGCATGATTAGTATTTTAAGATCAAATTTGATGATCATTAATCATCGAAATATGCTTATCTAGTGAAATCACAGTCAGTTTGATAGATAGAATACTTTTGTTCTATTGATAAAAAATTAATCACATTCTCCAATCACTAATCGTTATCATATAGGCAAAATTCAAATGAAAATTTCAATAAAAATATAACTAAGAATTTGCAAATTGATTTGATTTTGAAAATTTCTCATTACAAATCATAACGATTTATTTAAGTTAAGTTCATACGGACTTCATTTTATAGCATATTTATTTCTGGCTCGATAAACCGCGCTACTTATTAGAACATTTTATCACTTGCAGTTAGAATTATCTGATCATAATTTTCTGGCTAGCTAGACGCTTAGAAGTGACAATTGTCAGACAATTGATAAGAAATGATAAATACGCCTACCTATTTAACAATTAATTAATAAGTTGATGGCTGACTAAATGTGTCAGCTTATCTTTACAACATATTATATAGCGCAAATACTCACTTCATCTTCACTTATTTACCTAACGTATCTTTTTTCTCTGATGATTTTATTTGCATTTGCATTCTAATCCATGCCAATGCTTTTTCAATGTATCTTATGCCTTATTAGATGAGATAAGAGTATTGAAGCATCTCATTAACTTATCAATTAAATAATCAAAGGAATTGAAAAAAACATAGAACTCTTAAATAATAATCCGATAATTAAATATTTTATACGAAAATATCTCTCTTAAAACACCATTTCAAATATTTTAAATCATTAAATTTTCTTCCTTATAATTTCTTAAAAATTAGGCAAAAATTCCACATATCAACTTTGATTCATCACTTACTGCTTTAAGCGGAATCCGCTCAGAATAGCGAAATAGCGAAATATCGAAAGATCAAAATTGTTTTTGGAAAGCAAACTGCAAGATATATATCATACCTAATCAAAAATTTGTTTTTTATCGAATATATTCCTAAATTATAATTTGAAAAAAGATGGCACCTCTGAGATTGTGAAAGAAAATTGATACAAATTTCTGAGGCTTTTTGAGATTCTTATTGTCACAAAAAGTAAATCAGGGCATTACTGGGTTGTTTTCGACATAAAAGTAGGTCATAATACTTCTGAGAATGCCCATGCGGTAAAAGTAAATTGCCACACTGTTTTTTGCTAAAAAAAAAAGAAGACTAATCTATTTCTAAGGCTTTTTTCTGCGATTTTTGGGAATTTTAATTTCTCCATTTTGGTACTGAATCCATTTATTCCATTTTATTAACTAAGTCAAACCATATTCAATATTAATTTAAACATTTGAAAGCTAGCATTAAAGCATTTTAAAAAATTTTTATTTTGAATATTGTTTTATGGACAAAAGAAAAAACGCAGAATGTAGATTAAAGCCCATATTTATGTTTTTTTTTTTTTTTTACTTTTAATTGCTAATGTGGAAATTATTGAATTATTCTTTTCTCGACTATTTTATTCGATATTTTCATCGATATTCCGACAAATAATTTCTAAAGAAATACGAACTAATTATGAATATCATTTTATAGAAAGTATACAAGAAAAACAAGTCAAAAGCAACCAAAGAGGAAATTCAATCCAAATATGCTAATGGAGAATCAGTTTTATTCTTTCATTCATTATTACTGTTGATTTGGCGAATTTCCGAACTATAATTGGAATTTTGATGAGTTCGAATAAATGTATAAGGAAGTATATTTCATAAAGCGCCTTTCGTTCTTTTTAGATCTCCTATTAAAGAAATTTTTTTCATCATCAAAATTTGCTTCTTATTTCTCATAAATTTTTCAACACTTGCGAAAGATTTTATATAAAATTTTGTATTTCTTTATTGCTTTTTTTTTCTATATTTTTTTTTAAGTTTACTCACCATTACTGGCTAAACTCGCTTCACTGGCTTGCTACATTGGACAAACATTCCAGAGAGCCCCTTAGAAATAGAAGTACAGGTGAGACGCCAGCATCACCTGGATTTTTGTACAGATTCACTCCTGTGGAGAATAGAACCTCAGCATTGGCGCTCCAAATTGAGCAACAGCCCACTGAACTATTCCACTTATGAAAATATTCAAAAAAATATAAAATTTGATCTCATTATTTAAAAAATTATAAATAAAGCATAAATAAAATATAAATGAGTCATAAAAAGCATAAATGATTAATTAAAATTAATCTCCTTCAGGTATTTTTCATTTGATTTAAAAAGAAAAATATGAAAATTACCATAAAAATAAAATGGTTAAATAATGCTTTTATGCATTCAAACTGCTCCAAAAGGTATCCAAATGGCTGATTTATGAGAAATAAATTTTATCCTTATTTTTATTTTGAAATTTAAGAGGGAAATAGCGCTAAATGAATGAAAATCAAGAGTTGTTCAATTATGCAATACAGGTAAAATGTAGAATGGCTTAATTGTTGTTCTAATTTTACAATGTTGATTTAGATTTATTGTTGTAAAATTGCTTTTCAAAAATTCTAACGATCCATTTCCACTTCTACGGACAAATCCCTGGTGAAATTCGTCATTTAATGGAACCTAACCAAGAATTGTCTTTGTGCATATAATAATATCTTATTTCAACTATACAGCAATGCAAATTTCCTTGGTGCAGAATGCGATCTCGAACGACTCGAGAAGAACACGACAATTATCTGAATCGGAATACTAAAAATGTCCTCTTTAATCGAAAATTCACCAGTAAACTGATATCCCCACCACAAAAATAAAAAATTAACAGATGCAATGGTTGGTCTTCGCCTTAGTATTATGGAATAAAATAATGATGTTTCTTTTTCTCGTTGTTTTCTCAATCTAAACGTACTTTTCCCTCCATTATTTCTAAGCCTAAGCAAGAGCTACTAGCTTTCAAAGCTCCTGATTGAGCTCAAGCTTAAGACTGCGTATAAATTAGTATTCTTAAGCATAAATCCTAAAGCTAAGCCCAATCCTCACCACTGATTGAGAATTAGCCTTGGCCTAATCCTAACCTAAGACAAGTCCAAGATCCACATAAGCTTATTGTAGTGGTTAACTTAAATTTTTTCCAAAACCAAGATCTATAATCAATTACTATAGCTAATTAATTAAAAATTATTATTTATTATAAAAATTATTTACTATTTCAGCGATAAAATAGTATAATAAAAATGCAAAAAGGAAATCAATGAAAAAGGAAATGTAACATTTATCCATCGTTTTTGGCATATTAAGCTAAAAACTTCAAAATATTTTTAAATGCTCTAATATTTGCGATTAAATGTTATTTGTTAAAAATTCTCTCCCTGACTGCTGCTTATCATTAGCGATAAGGAGCCTTTTTCTCGAGTTTTAGAATTTCTGAAACTTTTTAAACTAAAATTTCTTTCTAAAAGATCATTTGAAACTTTGAAAGGTTCAGTTGTTCAAAGTAAATGTACTTTTACATAAGCATAATTTGTATTCATATGATAATGAATGAATAGGGCAAAAGATAACTCCTTAGACATATCGAATCACTGATACACTTATTATGGCAATCCGCGAGAATAATTTCTCATGATAAGGAAATATTAAAGAACTACTGAACTAAATAACTATTGATCGTTCAATTTTATAAGTTTTATTCATAAGTACAGGTAGCTATTTAATGTTGATAAGGATATATGATTTTTTATATCGCATTGCTCCGTAACAAGATGAAAAATGAAAATTCATGCTACAGTAGTAGTAGTAGTATACTAATAGAAATTAGATCTATGCATTTTCAAGCTATTATCAAAAACCGAAATTTATATAAAAATCAGTGTTATAAAGCCATTTGTACTGTTAAGTAACTGATCTGTAAGGAGGAGAATTTTCATTATCACAGCAATCGGTAACAATTAGATCAAAAATGTTTAGTGCAGCTATAAAATATAAAATTATTATAATATATATATATATATATGGTATTATTATATATGTACATATATATATATATATTTTATAAAGGTGCTATCACACTTATCATACTTCATGTACCTCAATAAATTTTAGTAATTTGATAAAAAATTTAGTATTTCTTCCAGTAAACAAACAAGATTTTACATTATTTGGTATCGATTTTATAATATCGAATAAATTTCAAAATAGTATTGTAAATTATAAATTCCATAATAAATTTTATATAAAAAGAATCTCTTCATTTTGATTAATACAAATACTGTTATATTAATAAGAAAATAAACAGAATAAATTAAGTAAAGATTAATTCAAAGTTGATAATCGGAATGATCTGGCAAAAATTTATCTTGATTAATGCAAACACTGCTTTTATCACGATTGAACGAACGCCTGAATAAAATTTGTAAATCTGAAAAAAAATTTTTTTGAAGAATCTTTATGAAAAAAAGCCTCAAACATAGATAATAATTTAGAAATCTTTATTGATAAGCAAGTTTATTTATTGTCACAAGAACAAACTTAATCTTAATCTTTTTATAAACTTCCTTTCCAATAAATTTTAGTTTTTCAATTTAAATCGTTAATTTACCAACATCATATGAAATATCTTTGGAATATGGGATTAAATGCCTCCTAATCACTAATGTTCACCAGAGAATTAAACTAACTAACTATTAAAGAATTATTTTTTCAGAGTTATTGCAGGATTTTCCAAATTTAAAAAAAAATTATGAATAATATGATAATGATATGATATGATAAAATACAATTTATTAATTTTATTTTTTCTATAAAAGTTAATAAATAATCGAAATTATGAGATACTAACGAGTGGAGGATGAATGTCTCACAGTAAATTTGGTACAAGAGCAAAAAAGTGATCGAAATGCATGCAAATAATCCGTAGACATTAAGCAATATAATATAAAGCTAATGGAACTATATAATAAAGTAAGCATTTCCATGAATGAACCCAGATGATCGTAGACGCTCACACCGAAACTTGCACCATATATTCCTGTACACAAATTAAGGACACCATGCGGAAATTCAACCTAGATAAATTTTGCGTAAAATAATGCTGCAATTTTATTGTAGAGCAAGTATTTACCAATAATTATGGTAAAAATTAGCAAGAGTAAATCTGCTCAAAAATCGGGGGGATTGTAATTCTATCATCATTGGACAAATTTATTTAATACGACAAGCCAGAGGAGCGAATCTAATTATGAAAGTGAAATGATGGGAGTGCTCTTTAAAAAAAAAAAGGGTAAAATTTAGCAATATTTTTAATTTTAAAATTATAAACCAAATTACAATTGTGAATAAAATTTTTCTCAAGAACGGTCGTTTTTATTTTGCACTTATGATGGCAACGGTCTTTTCATTCTCATTTTTTTTCTTTTTTCTTTAGGCAAAAACAAATTTAATTAAAGCTGAAATTCAATTGGTGGACATTGGCATTTGTATCCACCTGGGACGATTAATGATATTTTCAAAACATATAATTTTATTGCTTTTATTTTTTTATTATTCAATTTTATTCTACAGTCATTTTTTTCAATAATAAAAAACTTCCTTTTGAATAATCAAGTAACTTGGGGATTTTTTATCGGATTAATATCTTACTGGGAAGGAAGCGCAATCTCTGATAGAAATAGGATTTCTTCAAGGAATGACTTTCATAGATCGACCGAAGATGCTAGGAATAATGCTTGAAATAGGCAGCATAACTTCTTCATCAATTCAATTTCCACATAGATTGCTTCTTGAAAGTCTTGCAGGCAAGTTGAAAAAGTCTTGAAATTTCTTAATAAATATACATAAGAACTAACGAGTATACATAGGAACAAAATGATAACAAGCATTCTAGTTAATTTCGTTGTAGACACATATATTCGTTTTGTTTTCATCGAGACATTATTTTCAACTAGCCTTCCCGATGATAATTGGTTCCGTCGCTTATCGATACTATGCAAAGATCTGAAATTTCTTAAGATTAAAATCGAAATTGGCTATGAATCCATCCGTCAAACGATGATCACAATCACAATTTATCCATTCACGAATTAGAAATTTTCTATATTCAATTAAAATTATAATTAACAACTAACAATTTTTTTTACATCTCAATTTAAACAATTTGAAAGCTACTTAGCTAGAAATCTTGAACTAGCTATGACAAAGCTAGTGAAAAAGCTATGATAAAAAAGATAAGAGAGATTTATATTTTAAAATATATCTATTATAAAATGTAAAATATATTTTATATATTTAAAATATATTTATAAAAAAGATTTACCTTATTAAACCAATAACAAGAACAGCTAGCACCATTGATGGTATTAATTTCATAACAATGCCAAACATCCAAAAAACAAATTTTAATAAAGCGGTATTATTCGAATAGTTCAAATCATACATTACACTGATAGAACAGTTCATATAATTAAAATCTAATTTAGCGACCTAAAAAGTTGAAATTGATCAAAGAAAAAAAAAATACTATCCACTTATTAAAACAATATAATTGTACTATAAATCTTAATTTCTCGAAAAATTATTGAGGCAAATGAAATTAAAAATTATCAAAATTTACATAATTAAGAATTTAAGGATCTGGAATTTCTGTTTAAATTTTTCTTCTTTATCAACGAACCTCCGATGTGAAAAAAATTGGTGAACAAATTATGGGAACAATAATCCAAATAGAACATGTCGCTGTAATTGCCAGTTCTGTCCTAAGAATAATTTTTTTAAACGATTATCGAAATTTTATAATATCTTGAATGAATAAAGATAATAAAATAATAGAATAAAATTAAATAAATAAAATAATTACATAAATAAAATCTGCATAAGATATTAAATTTACGTATGATTTTATCATAAGAAAAATATAACTACATTGATAGGATACTGTGTCACTTTTAGCTATGATTATTGATACGATATTATGAATATTCATAAATCTTCTAAATAAATTAATTTTAAAACTAAATTTTATTGTAATTTAATCAACTGATTTTAGCCATATATTATCCATAATATTATTTAAAAAATTCACATCATGCAGGAAGTGTGAAATCGCGATTTTTACCATCCAATTATAGTTATTTCGAATTATCTATATTCTATTATTTTGCAATATCCTCTTTATTTCATCTTTAAATTATTTATTTTATTTTATTACTATTTTTTTGTTTTTTGGCATAAAAATTTGTATTTGTTTCTTATTATTTGTTATTTTATTGCTATTTTAACCGTTGTTATTAATTCAAGCACATGGCGCCCAGCTTGGCTAGTTTTCTATAAATAAATATACTATTTTCATATTTTCAATAATAGACTTCTTTATCTCATGATTTTCTTCATTTTAATCAATGAATCTTCTAAATGATATGACCAGTGAACTTATGAAAAGATTATCTAAATTCTTACCTATACAAATGTACTCGAATCGCTACAGGCCATTTGAGTGCTGTGTATCGAAATACAGCAATTGCTAGTGTATGCGCAAAAGCTACTGAAATAATCATCTTTAATTTATGAAAGGAAATAATGTTTTGTCAATTTCAACAATTTTGGTGAATTTGTAAAACTTTTTTTTTTACAAATTCGAGAATTTGAAATTAGAGTTGAATTAGAATCCAATGCTTACCAGTGTGAAAAATTACATTACAATTGACATTGATCAATCGGTACCAGGTGAATGGATATGTCCAAGGTAATCGGTAACTACAATATAACTTCATTCTCAATTTTTATTTTTTATTTCGAAGTTTAATTTCTACCGTAAATAAATTTCGACAAATGCAGTTCTTGAATTTATTTGATAACAAGACAATTTCGCAAAGATAATTGATAATTTGTTGATAAAAAACTCACCATTGTAATCTATACAATTCGATAGTGATTAATCCAAGATAACTAAGTGCTAATAACCACTGTGAAATTGAAAGACCTGCCAGAAGAATGTTTACTGGCGTGCGCATATTTTTTCTAAGTTTATTGAAATTCAAAAAAAAAAATTGTTTTTGTTTTCAATTGCCATCAAATAATAATAATAATAATAAGTACTTTATTTTAAATAATTTTTACGCTTATTTTCAATGACTTTTAAAGATTTAAAGAAAGTTTATAAAAAATTTTGGCGATAGTTTTTTTTTAAAGAATTAAATTTGAAAAATATATTTGCAAAATAAAAAAATTTGCAAAAAAAATATTTCCGAATGAAACAAATAAAATTTTCTTTTTTATTTTGCTTTGTTTTTTCTTCAAATATTTAAAATAAAAAATAATATTGATAAACTACAAATAAATATTATTATAATAGAAAACCTTGTTAGAACAATTATATTGAAAACATTGGAAATCGCACCAAATAAACATATTGTTATCGATAATGGAATATGAATCTGGTCATAAACCTATAAAAAAAAACTGTTTAATAGAAAAATCAGTTGAAAATCAGTAAGAAAAATTTGTGGACATATGCAAAACGCAAAATGATTAAACGATTTGTTATTTTCGCCAGTAACTTCAAGCGTTTTGAAACCACCTCCACCTCGTCAACGATAAATTTCTCATTAAATAAGTACTGAAATACGGCATACGCACTTCTATACTTCTATCGTCGCTTTCCATGTAGTACTAATGATGGTAGTGTGCAATAATTCAACATAATAATAATAATAAATCGATCCAGTAAAATAAGTTAAACACTTTACATATTATTTAATGCAAGGAATTAAATTGAAAAATTTTAAATGGGCAAATCATAGAATCGACAGAAAAGGTATTTCAATTTTTTTTGCAAATTATGCACATAAAATCCTTCTAAAATCCTCTTTAAATTTCCTCTACATTCAAATTTAATCGCATTTATATAAAAAGTGCGGCGTATTATGCGAATTCTCTATATTTTTTTTAGATTTCGCATAAATATCTTGTAAGACGAATGAAAAATTGGCTTATAAATTTAAGCAATCATACGTTATTTAAAAGAATATATTCTTATTTTTTAGTTTTTTCTTTCAGATTTCAATGATTATCAAAATTCTCCGAGTGATTGTCAAAATCATAAATACTAATTTAAATGAATTTTTTTCATAAAATGTAAGATTTTTGTTTTTTTTATCAAAAAAGGAAATGAATAAAAATAAATAAAATACTTTATGGATGATTGAATGCTAATTACAAATTTAATAAAAAATTAAATGGCATATAAATGGCATATTGAAAATAGAAAATGAGAACTTTGCTATTTTATGAATATATTATATAATAAATATAACTTTATAAATATTCCGCCATTAATTTTAAAAATATAAAAATTACAAATCTAATTAGTAATGTTTGTATCGCATCTTTATTTTTTATTTTTTTATTTAAATATAATAAAGTAAATTTAAATTATTTATTTAAAATTATTTAAACTTATTTACATTTTAAAATTATATAAAATATAAAAATTATAAAACATTAAAAATTCACATTTTTTCGTCTATTTTCAGCCTTATTTTCAATGCTTTCGTTTACTTTGTTCTTTTAATTTACTTTATTTTCAGTGCTTTTTTGTTCACTTTGTGTTTTATAAAATATTCTCCAATATTTTTCTTTGTTTACTTTAACCAACTAACTTTACACAATGCTTTTTGAAAATAAATAAATAATTGCGAAAAAGGAAATATATTGAATATTTGTATGTATGAATATGTGTTTAGACACATCTTTCTGCAACATTCATTATTTGCATTTGAACATATTTTTTTTTCATATTTTATTTTATATATTTGAATTCGGAAAAGTTAAATATTTATTTATAAAAGATTTATTTATAAAGTCATTTTATTTAAATCATTTATTAAATCATTTAAAAAATCATTTTAATGTAAAAATTGTTGAATTCGTTATTTTAAAGAGCGCATTAAATTTTTTTCGTTGTGCGCATCCATTTTTATAATAAGTTTGTCAATTAAAAAATTCTTTATTTGACTTAAATTATTTGTTCAAATAATTTATTTTCGAGGCGGAAATAAAAATTAATTGAAACTTTCTTTTTTGGAAAAAAAATATATATTCACATATTTTTCAATTTCATTTTCATATAGTTCTATGTGATGAATACAAATAAAATACATCAATTTCGGAATCCATTAAATTTATTATTGCAAAAATATCGAAAAAAATATTTATAAAAAATCGCAAATTTCAGCAAATATAACCTTATTGTTGCAGATAATTGAAAATGGTAAATTAAAGCTGATAAAGTTTATAAGGCAAAAAAACGTTTCTACTAAAAACGTTTCGAAAACTGATAAAATACAAATTTTGAAGAATTTATTGTTCTATAATAATTAATTATTTTGCATCTTTTTTTTTCTATCGAAATTGTGCATAATTAAAAAAGATACTTACACTTGAAAACATTTTTAGATAGCATTCGCCAAATGGACAACTCGAATCTTCTGAACCATACGATTTTTCTTTTACTAACATCTCATTTGATGAAAATTGATAAACATAATAACTGACATCGATAGTTTGGAAATATTTCTGAAATTCCCATTTTGTGAAAATTTGTGAGAATTTAATCTTCAACATTCATACGGATATTCACAAAAAAAGTAATATGGACAATTGGAATAAAGCAGCGATAATAGCAGCGGATTGCAAAAGCAATGATAGAATTGCTTGTAAAAAATCGCTGAAATAAAAATTGCATGTGAAAAAAAAAGTTTTTTGCATTAAAAAATCTATCGTTTTTGTTGAAATGAAATGAAATCGCAACTTGGAATTGCACTCGCAATTATTGTTAGAAACGAATTACTGTTGGCAGAAGAATTATTGTTGGGAAGAAATTTATTATTGGTAAGCAACTGAATTTAAGAATGAGAATGCTATTTTTTCGTTTTTCTGTAGTTCTTGCCTCTCCTTTTTTCTTATTTCCACTTTTTTTATTTTATTTCTCTATTGAATTTCGTTTTTTTGAAAAATTCATTTACGAAATTCAAAAAAAAAATAAAAGTTTTGAAATTAAAAATTTAAGAGATGGGAAAAAATATAGTAGAAAAATTCTTTAATTCTTTTTTTTTCACATGCTTTGATGAAGAAATTCATGAAAATAAATATTCATGAAAATAACATTCGAATGACAAATGAGAATTCAGTCGAGAATCATAATGAAACTTTATGACGAAAGGGTGATTTAGTTCCTAAACAACCCACAGCGCACTGGTATAGACAAAATATAACAAATGTGAAATTAATCGCGAAGGAAAAGAATTTGAAATCCAAAATCAGAAAAATGGGTGGTCTAAACGCTTATAGACATCAGGGTCGATCGAAAAACATTTGCTCATGCATGGTAAGCATGGACATTCTTTATGATATCTAGTTACATGGGATTTTCCAGTACTCAAACATGACTATATTCTGATCAATCTTTGTTGATATAATTTTTGCATTTATTCGTGTTGAAATAAGCCTTCATAGAATAGATTATAGTTGACGTGCATATTGACTTGATAAGACATAAAATACAGCAACTTCCAAAAGTTTTTTGATTATTTTAAGAAAAAAAGATCTAAAAATATATTTGAAGCCAAATTACCAAGAAATCATGGTGATATCTATCAACAATGCTTTTGGAACGTGAGTATCGAGCCAAAGAATTATCCCTAGAATGTGGATAAATCTATGCTAAAATACGAATGTGAAAGTTGGAACCGAGCAAGCTGGGTATCTGAAGAAATGGTCCAAGTGAATGAAAAGGTCACTGCAGGCGACATGTCTTTAGATCTTAGTTAATCGACGTTTCGAAAACATGGCAAGATAAAAACTATTACTGCCCTAAATAGGAGACGATAACCGATAATCAGAAAATATTTTGTCCATTGTAAATTAATTATCACTTGGGAGTTGGCCATTGAAATTCGAGGGAAGAATCGTGAAATGTTATGATTCTTATGAACTCACACCATAGAGAGAATTCTTTTAAAAAGCTTAAAAATGATATGCCATTCATTGCACCAGCTTTTGAAGCTTATTGAAGCTATCTGCTTATTAGCATGAAATGACCTCCAATCTTCGCTATTCAGAAGCTTAACCAATAAAAAGCGAGTTGAGTTCCTCAAATTTATCATTTTTCATAATTCATTTCCAGGAGATATTTTCTTGTTATTGCGACTGAATTGAAGCAAATAAAGCTCCCTATTGCAGAGAAAAATAATAACTGTGATAATCATCGAGCAATCAACCCATTAGGCAGTTCCGCAACAGAGGATGCGTTCTAGCCAAGCTAACAAAGAAAGGTTGAAGAAATATTCATGTTAAGACAGTTGGAAATCGCTTCAACTGTTAATTAATCTGTTAATTTATAATGAAATGCAAATAATGTTAAACAACTCTGCGAGAAGCGATCTCAGGATCAATATAAAATAACGAAAGTGTTTTCATCTTATATACAAAAAAGCTGACACAATGCATCTTTTATAAATTCGCTGATTGAAGAAGTGTCCGACTAAATATCTTGGATCCACTCTAATCCCAAATGGCCAGGAAAAGGATGAAAAATCCGAGTAACATAGCTAGAAATGTGTATTTTCGGCTCATCTAACAGCTGCAGTTCGCTCGATCTTGCTATGGTTGCGAAACATAGCCAATAAGAGTGGAAGATATTAGGAAGCCCTCTTATCAGCCTGTCTAAGAAGCATTTTATGGATCCGTCAACAAAATCGCACATTATTGTATCCATCTTCGCTCTACTACCTGTATTAATAATGTTAACACAGAGCACCATTTGTTAGGGCAAGACGTCTACCATAGGAATTGATGCGCATTCATTTACTGAAAACCAGCCAAACAGAGCGACAAAGCCATGTGTTTGTATTAATACCAACAGTTAAAATAAAAAAAAATAATAATAAGAAAATAAAAGAAAGTGTGACAAAAATCAACAATTTAAAGAGGAAATAAAGAGGGAATTATAGAATAATATAATATAGTACAATTCGAAGTAACTGTCTTATACATAATCGGATGGTAAAAAATCGAGATTTCACAATTCCTGCTTAATATGAACTTTTTAGAAACTATCATAAATGATATTATCTAATTTTTTTTTAAAGATAGCTATTCGGTAATTTCTTCCATTAATTAATATAATTCATTAGTACGAATACATCATGAGTTCTTAGTTTAGTTTTACACATAAATTTTGATAATTTTAGCCCATTAGTTCTTGTTGGATTCAAATTTAGCTTAAAATTATAATATAATCTAGTTTAATAACCATACAGAATCTTACAAGTAATCAAATCTTGTTTAATTCGACGAACTGAGGGAAATTCCAGGTTGTATTGTCAAAGTGAATAAATATAGTTATGAAAAATTTTTTACGTATAGAGAGATCAACGATATATGGGCTTTGACGATGGAAAAGGGAATGGCTTCTATTACTACTAGCGATCGTGTCGAACGGAGCATCTTGGAGATGTCTTGCCCTTGTAGCCAGCAGAGCCAGCCTAACCAGTAATATGCGAGAAGAAGAAGAAGAAAGAGTCTATGATCACTATCTTTCATTACTAGCTTGAATTCAACAGATACCGCTATGGAGGACCATGCAACGCCATAAGGTTCAAAAC